AGACAGTATCACTTTATCTCAGGCTTATTCATTAGTACATAGTGAAGAGAGTATGGAGAAAGTTATGTTACAGATTTCACCCATGGAATCAGCCTTGGCAGTAGTAAAACCAAAGCTTGGTGGTGATAAGGAGAGGGATATGAAGAAGGAAGACAAAAGAGAGATAGTCTGTGATTATTGTAAGAAGCCAAAGCACACCTGAGACACTTGTTGGAAGCTGCATCTTCATCTTATTCTAATAAGAGTGAAAGACTCAAGAATAAGAAGGGGAATGCCAATGCAACTGTTACTATTGATGGTGCACCTTCCTCTAGCCCAAGATCCACACCGCTGGATGCTTTAATTGTAGTTAGAGCTGCCTTGACTTAGTTGGAGAGTGTGGTTGGAGTTTCAGGATCATCTCATCCACCAGCTACTATACCCATTATTCCTACCTTAGCTTTTGCTCACTCAGGCACAAGGGCTACTGTCTATCATGCTTTAGTCCAAGGTAACACTACTCTTTTTTGGATTGTTGATTCGGGTGCCTTTGAGCATATGACTAGCTTATCCTCTTTGGTTACCTCTTATTGCTTATCTTCTATTAGACAGTTTCTATTGTTGATGGCTCTCTTGTTTCTGTTTTTAGCAAGGGAGATATCAAAGTGGGTCCCTTATTCCTATTTTTGGCAAGGGAGATATCAAAGTGGATCCCTTGTTCCTATTTTTGCAAAGGGAGATATTAGAGTGTTTGATTCTATTTCCTTGTCCTCAATCCTACATGTTCCTAAACTTGGTACCAATTTGCTTTCAATTAGTAGTATTACTAAAAAATCATAGTTCTCAAGGCACCAATGTTTTAAAAGTGTAAGGCGCAAAAAAGGTGCAGAGCTCAATTTGTGCCTGAGGTGCAAGGCGAGGCGTGCACCTTTTTAAGCAAGGTGCAAAAATTAGAAAAAGGCTAAAAAATAAAAAAATTCAAAAAATGCAAAAAATCAAAAAATTATTGAACATAATATTAATAAAAATATAAACTTTAATTTTAAAATAAATGTTTAAAAAACCTATTATCTAATATTAAAATACATAAATATAACATGTAAATCATATTCAAATGAGAATTTAAAAATAAAATCAAATATATAAAACCTTTTCAAGCATATAAAACCCACAATCTCTTCTCTCAATTGCATTATTTCAAGTAGTTAATGTGATGTAAAGCATATTACATTCCTGATTCTACGAGCCGCCTTTGTACCATGCCCTTCGAGGCAAGCCCAAACAAGTCCACGTTAGGTCTTAAATTCTTAATTCTCACACAAACAATAATGATTTTATAGTTTTAATTGTTTTTTAAGAAGACATTTTGTTAGCATGAATGAATGAACAACATTACCAAATAGGGGGTTCTCGAAGCATTGTAGATAAAATTATTAGGATGAATGAATGAATGAATAATCGATTGGCTCATTATCTTTTGGGTCTTTGAAGAGTCTTTTTTTTCCTACTTTATTTGAGTCAATCCAAGTGTCCAATTTGAGGTGTGAGAATTATGAATTTGCAAAGCATTGTAGATCAACTTATTCTTTAAGTAATAAAAGAAGCGTTGTTCCTTTTGAAATTTTATACCGATGTTTGGGGACCATATCATATACTGTTATGGGGTGATACATATATTTCTTGTTATTTGTTGATGACCATTCCCATTTTTTATGGGTTTATCTTATGAGTTCTTGAGATGATGTTCCTTCTTTAACCTGTGCTTTTCACTAGATGGTTTTGACCTAATTTGCAATCAGAATCAACGATTTTAGGTCAGATAATATCAAGGGAGTACTTAGCAAAACCCCTGGCTTCATATTTCCTTGAGTATGGGGTTATCCATCAAAGTACTTGTTCTCATACACCTCAACAAAATGGACTAGTTAAGAGAAAGAACAGACACATCTTGGAAGTTGCTAGAAGCATCATGCTGAATTCTACTATTCCATACATTTCTAGGGGGACGCCATCCACACAGCCGTGTATCTCATCAATAGGTCCCCTTCACGAGTTGTAGATATGAAATAATCTTTTAGGCTATTGTATCCAGATAAATACTTGTTTACTATTCCCCTTAAGACCCCTGGGTGCACTTGCTTTGTTTAAATCCTTGCACCTCATTGCTCTAAATTTGATCATAAGGTTGTAAAGTGTATTTTTCTTGGGTATGCACAAAATTGAAAGGGATATTGTTGCTATGATTATTGATAAAAAAATTGTTGCTATGATCCAGTCTCTGGGATTTGTTTCATCTCTATGATGTTATCTTCTTTGAGGATGTTCCTTGTTATCTTAGGGTTTCATCTCAGGAGGAGAGTTGCGAGAAGGTTATTTTTTCCCTGGAAGTTCATCACCTGTTCCAATCACTGAAGGGGAGAGTTGTGAAGGGGATTGTTAGGGGTGTAAAGAATTAAGGGTGTTTCATAGATGGTGGAGGCAGGTTGATTTTGGTCATGAGAAATCCATACTAGTTCCTCTCTCCTTTACAACACTAGATCCAGGTACTACAACCTTTTTGCTTATTGCTATTGCAAATGACATTCCTACTGCTATTGAGCCTTAGCCTCCCTCAGATGATCTTGACCTTCCTATTGCAATTTGCAAAAAGAAGCGCTGTTGTATCTCATCTATTGCTCATTATTATCTCAATTTCTTTCTTATGACCACTTCTCACCATCTTATAATTCCTTTTTGGCATCTATTGCAGCTATATCTATTTCTAGAATAGTGCAGGGAGCTTTGTTGGTGCTTGAGTGGAAGGATGCAATGGGGGTGGAGAGGGATGCCCTCATTAAAAATTATACACGAGAGTTGGTAGATCAGCCAAAAGGGAAGAAACTTGTTGGGTGTAGATTGGTACTTATAGTGAAATACAATGCAGATGGCTCGGTTGATAGATACAAGGCCCGATTAGTTGCAAATAGATACACATAGACTTACTGTATTGATTACATGGAGACCTTTGCACCAATCACCAAGATGAACACAATTAGGTTATTGCTATCTCTTGCTACAAATTTATCATGGCCACTATTCCAGATGGATGTTAAAAATGTTTTCCTTAATGATGATCTACAGGAGGTATATATGGAATTGTTCCTAGGTTTTATGACGTAGATGCAGGAAAGAAAGTCTATTGGTTGGAGAAGGCTTTGTATGGTCCAAAGCAATCTCCAAGGGCATGGTTTTCCAGATGGATGTTAAAAATGCTTTCCTTAATGATGATCTACAGGAGGTATATATGGAATTGTTCCTAGGTTTTATGACGTAGATGCAGGAAAGAAAGTCTATTGGTTGGAGAAGGCTTTGTATGGTCCAAAGCAATCTCCAAGGGCATGGTTTGATAGATTTAGACTTGCCTTAGAGAAGTTTGGCCATGTGTAGGCCTAGTTAGACCATGCTCTTTTCATCAAGAAGGTAGATGCTTCCTTAACTCTCCTTGTAGTGCATGTTGATGATATTGTGGTGACAAGCAGTGACATTGGTGAGATTCATTCTCTTAAGTAATTACTTAACAAGGAGGTTGAGGCAAAAGACCTGGGTGCTTTGTACTATTTCTTGGAAATTGAAGTGGCTTAGTCTAAACATGACATCTTTATCTCCCAAAGGAAGTATGTTTTAGATCTATTAGAGGAAACTAGGAAATTAGGAGTTAAGCCTGCCGAGACACCTATTGAATAGAATCATAAAATAAGTGCAGAAGGTGGTGAGTCTCTTGAAGACAAAGCTATGTTTCAGCAGTTGGTAGGAAAATTGCTTTATTTGTGTCTAACATGGCCCGACATTTCTTATGCTGTTAGTTAGTACATGCATTTTCTCAAAAAATCCCATCTACTTGCAGTTGAGGAGATTTTTGCTTACTTGGAAGAGATGTCTAGGCTGAGGCATACTCTTCAATGATAATGGTCACATAAAAATAAAGGTGTACACAGATGTTGATTGGGCCAGGTGTGTTGATGATAGACGATCTACCTCAGTTTATTGTGCCTTTGTTGGAGGGAATCTTGTTTCATGGAGTAAGAAACAAAATGTTGTTGCTCGTTCCAGTGCCCAAGACAAAGTATAGGTCCATGGTTAATGGTGTGGCTGAAGTGTTRTGGCTAAGATCCCTACTTGGAGTTAGGAATTAAATATGAAAGACCCTTGATGTTGTATTGTGATATCCAGGCCACCATTAATACTGCTCATAATCCAATACAACATAATAGAACCAAACATATCGAGGTGGACTGGCACTTTATTAGAGAAAGAGTTGCTTCTCAAGAAGTGTGTCTTCCCTATGTTACTTCCGATATGCTGCTTGCTGATCTCTTCATCAAAGCTGTTAAAAAGTCAAGTTTGAGGCAGATTTATGCAAATTGGGAATGACCAATATCTATTCCCAACTTGAGGGGAAATGTAGAGATACAGTACAGTAGACTGGTGTGGTCCCTCCTTGTGTTTTATGTTATGTTTTTCTATTTTTTTTATTAGTTGCTGTTAGCTGTAGCTGCTATTATTATTATTTTTCTTTTCTTATATGCGCGGCAAGGGGTATTAGTGTCTTTGTACTGCTCTTTAATTTGCTAACATATAAATGCTAATAGTGGGGCGGCAGGGACACAATAACTGCACCCCGTTTTTCTCATTCTCTCTTCTCTTCTCTTCTCCTCTGTTCTCTTCTTCTATTTTCTTTTTTCTTTGCTGAATTCACATCAGAACATAGATCGACTGTGAACTCTTTCAGCTAACTAATACAACTCCATTCAGTAGCTTCCTTTTCTTTCTTTGGACATATACATGCATGTATTGTGTTTTGGTATTCTAGTCTATAGTTCAAAACAATCATCAATGATAATTACTATTCTATATTATAATCCTTAGCTTAAATCTATCCTTGCTGTATCATAAAGGGTCTCGTGGGAGAATTGCTTAAAAATTGTTATTATCATATTAGGTGGATGCCCTTTCATTTAACTGGTGGTTATATTTCTTGGTAGGTCACCCTTGGGTTCGGGTTGGTGGTGTAGCTCCCGATAAGCCCCTTGATTCTGCAGTTTTAACTCGCTTGAAGCAATTCTCTGCCATGAACAAACTCAAGAAAATGGCAATCAGAGTGAGTATCTTAATATCTCTGAGCCTGTGGTTGTCAAAATGAATATTCACGACTTCAAAGTGAAATTTGCACTCCAAAACTAAAAGGTGCACTTATATTGTGCTCTTAAATCTCTTGCTGACAATCTTTTCTAAAATAGTGGTCTACTACATTTTTTTATAATATGATGTGTATGTCTGGATATTTCTGATAGAGAAAAAAAACATACCAAATTTATTTATGCAATTTGCCTTTGGCCACTTCCTGGATGCAGGCCAAGTATTATGTATCACGTTTGAGTTCTTCAGAATAGTTAGAGACATGTTTGAGATTCGAGATGGCCCAAACATGGTCATCATCTAAAGATGCTTCACATATTTATCTATTTACCTCCAATGATATGTTGTGAGTCTACAAGGATTCTTTATCTCTTAGGGACTAGGCTGTGCCCCCCCCCTAAAGCCCAACCACGTCTTCATCTATTTTTTGGCTATGTATCCATCCTTCTATTTATCAGACTGTCTATTTGCTGGTTGATTATTTGAAAATTCTCATTATTGTTTAATATGATTGATTTTGGAAACCTTTTTGCTTTTCTATGGGTCAAATGTTTAGTTCCTTACATTAGGTATTTGTCCTATTCATATAGGTTATTGCTGAGAATCTGTCTGAAGAGGAAATTGCTGGCCTGAAAGAAATGTTTAAGATGATAGACACAGATAATAGTGGACAGATCACTTTTGAAGAACTCAAGGTTGGTATGGAAAGAGTTGGTGCAAAACTCAAGGAGTCTGAAATATATGCATTAATGCAAGCTGTAAGTTTCTATTCAGAATCCACTTTTTGGTTTTCTATAACATGTAGGGTCTATTGCTTGATGTAATGGTAAAATCTTGGTTTGACAAGCATGATAATTTAGATTCAAGTATGAGAGTGGTCACTGAATGCTAAAAGTCAGATGTTAGGTCTGTATCGATTTGATGCCATAGCCACACCTTGAATAGATGGAATGACTTCTTGGTGGGGCCACTGCAGTAGATCCAAGGCCGTGATTTTCTGTTTTAGCCCTGCGCTACGACAATGCTGTAGCAAAAGTGAACACATTTAATCAGGATTGGGTAATAGGCTTTTGTTTGGTCCCTGCAATAGTTTCCCTTTTCTATATATTATAAGGAGGTTCTATCATTAATCTCACATTGCTTTGTCAGAAAAAAAATTACTTAATGTTAATTATTTTAATGAGTTCATCACATGGTTGTAAATTTCTATACATTCATAAAAGCTCCATTTTATAAATCTATATAACACTGCATGATGCTAGCAAAATTTAGAAAAATATAAAGATAGCAAAACCAAGAAGTAAATGGAAGATATAATTGCTTCTGTCTGGGAAGGCATAGATTCAATTTCTGTTGAATATGGTATGCTTTTGTTTCTCTGACTTTAGAAAGTTAATAATTATGATGTCTGGTATGATTCAAGCATTCATAGTTTAACAATGGATATGCCATTGTACAGAACTAGGGGTATAAATGGAATGGGTTTGAATAGAATCAAACAATATTTGAATTCGAATTTAATTAAATATTTGAATATTTGATTGGATTTGAATTTGATCAATGAATTTAGGAAGTATATAATATAAATATTTTACTTATATAAAGTATATGAACACATAAATTATTTATATAATTTAAATATTATATAATTATATAATCAGTCGAATTTGGATATTTATCAAATTGAATCAGGCCGTATCTGAATTCGAACTCAGATTCTTGAATACCATTGAAACCCCTGTACAGAATGGAATGGTGAAATAGGATTCATGTACCCACCCCATATAGTTGGGATAAGAATTAGATGATGTTATGTTAATTTATCCCATTCTTATGGTCATGGGTCCTGATTAAAGTGCTCCAACTTGCTAAACCATTAGTTTCATGCAATTGATGGTGAAGACTCAGGAAAGAACTTGATTTCACCCTCTAAGCATAGTTTTCAAGGCACCAAGGTGAGACTAGGTGACAGGGGGGCGCCTTGTCGCCTAGTCACGTAGGCAATGGATTTTTTTATGTTGAAAATATAGATCCTAGGGTAGTTCCCTAGGTACCATAACCATATTTTCTTAATAATTATTCATAATTTTCATAAGAAAAAGTATAAAGTTCATATTAACGTATAGAAAATCAACATATTCATGAGAAGAAAAAGAAGGAAAATAGAATTCAAAAAATATAGGGGCTCAACCCTTATTTTTGTTATAGGAAAATAAGAAAAGAAAAAGTATTGGTAGTAGTAGTAGTAGTAGAAGAAGAAGTAGAAGAATATATGGAAGAAGAAAATTTGCTGATTAGATAAAATTTTTAGTTCTTCCTTACTTATTGGTTCAGGTTTTGAAGTCATTGAGGGTTCAACACAACATTTAGCAATGTTCGTGTTGATTAAATCCTAATAAATAAGAAAAAAATAAAAAGAAATTAGTATATAGACACAAAATGATTATTTTAGTTTAATAATGTCTATTTTATAATTATAATCTCAAAAGTAAACAAAAAAGTATTTTATAGTAGGAGGTAAAAAACTGATTGGCAATTAGGCGAGGCGAATCTCAAAGGGCGCCTTGTCGCCTAGGCGCCCGCCTTGACAACTATGCCTCTAAGTCACTGAGCAATTACCACCAACCCCTGTGCCTTCTATAAATGAGAAAATATCATCCCAGACAAATGATCAAGACCCATCTAGGTCTTTGAAGATGCCTTGACAACTATGCCTCTAAGTCACTGAGCAATTACCACCAACCCCTGTGCCTTCTATAAATGAGAAAATATCATCCCAGACAAATGATCAAGACCCACCTAGGTCTTTGAAGATGATAAGTGCAAATTTATGCTTAATTTGATCTCTATGGCATCTTTTCATGTCCTTTTCTATCATCATACCCTATGGTTCCAGAGTTGTTTTTATCTAGTTTTGGTGGGGGCCAGGAGGAATTTTATGATGGCACAAGGAACTGTTTATTTAGACATTTGTTTAACCTTCCACTTCTACTGAAAATCCACAGGCTGATATTGACAACAGTGGTACCATAGATTATGGTGAATTTTTAGCTGCAACTCTACATCTAAATAAAATCGAAAAAGAAGATCATTTGTTTGCGGCTTTCTCATACTTCGACAAAGATGGAAGTGGATATATAACTCAAGATGAGCTCCAACAGGCTTGTGAGGAATTTGGTATAGATGCTCATCTTGAAGATATGATACGAGAAGTGGATCAAGACAATGTAAGTGGCTTTCTTTGAAGTTCCTCTTCTGTTTTCTGGAGAATAAATTGTTAATCAAAATTGTTTTCCCAGGATGGGCGCATAGATTACAGTGAATTTGTGGCTATGATGCAAGACAAAGGTTTTGGCAAGAAGGGGCTTTTCAAATGACTATGGCTCTGGGTTTAAGAAACCGTAAAGCTTGGTTGATGCCTAGTCGTGGTCATGTATTTTCTAACCTTTTCTTTTTCTTTTTCTTTTCCATTTTTGTTCTTGTTATCAGTAGAATTGGTTGGGACAAGGTCTTACCAGAGTTGAGTTGGATAACAGTAGAACCATGCATAGCCATTGTAAAGATCAGACACTTACAAAGCTAAAATAGGTTCATAGAGTTTTTTTTTATTATATATATGAACTTTTGTTATGTTTTGTTTTAGTTTAATGGTAAAATCTTTGGGTTGACAAGCATGAGAACGTGGGTTCAATCTGAGAGTGGCCATTTTGTGAAAAAAAATTTCCAGAGGATAGGTCTGTCTCCAGTCCACCCCTCCCAAGATCCGAGATATCAGGGACCAACATTTGGTAGTGGTACATATTTTGGTGAGACTTAATGTCCTAATTGTAAATTTCTTTTTCCCCCTCCATGTACACTGTCCATGATAATATCTTTCAAGGAGCAGACTGACTAAAAACACCTTGTTTTCCTTATTAGTTTTAGTTTTGAATCTTTAAAATCTTATTGATATTTTCTTGGAGTGAATGTAAGAAAGAGATATCTTCCTGATGTTTCCAAAATGTAACTTAAGATCAAAGTCACTGGATGTGACAGAGGAGACGGTTTCTGATGGAGATTGAGTGCATGTATTTGGATACGTTTTTCTTTTACCACAACATATAATGCTAGGAATGCTATGTTGGTATATGAAGTTTGATCATTTGGCAGTAGAACATGTCAATTGTAACAATCACCAACTTTATGAGATTCAATTTTGACTGTAGTAAATATTTCTTATTTCAAGTTCACAAAATTACTCTGCTGGTACTTTTCACGACAGTGAACACAACAGTTGCCACAATAGCAGTAAAGCACAAGCAGCTCTAAATTGGATTCCTTTGCAAATGGCAAGTATATTCTATAAATAATTGTCTGTTTCTTTTTCACCTGGTTTGCTCTCATTTCATTCAAAGTTTATGCAACAGTGTATCCAAGGTTCAAAGTATTGATGCATATCGGCCTATATAGGTCAATACGCGTTGGATGTGGGTTGGGCAACACGATACAGAGCTGTCATCCCAAATTCCCAATTATCTAAAAGCAATTCCACCGTTTCCTTGATTATTGCTGTCTATTGACTTGATATACATCAATACGGACTGATGCTGATCTATATAGATGGACATGCATGCTTAAAATACTAGGAATGACCCCGTACTAAGTACGGGACCTTTAATCTGAATTATTTTAATTATTTATATTAGACATTTAGATTAGGCTTTTTATGTGATTTAAGAGATTTACCATGTTTTATTTAGAGAATGACCCCATATTAAGGGGCAACTACAATATTATTTAATTTGAAATTTACTATTTAACTATAAAAAATTAAATTAGAAAAATTAACATGGGTCTTACATCTTTGTAATTGACAATCTATTCTGATCTACTTTGTTTGAAAATCACTATTAATTTATATTGTTTTTAATATGATTTAAGAGATTAAATGAGGTCTTATTTGTAAACAGTAACCCACTTTAATTGGTACTTACTATTTATTTGATAAATTTATTTTTCAAAGCTAAATTAGGTTATGCTTCCAAAAAAAGTTAAATCTAGTTTGTAATTAATAAACTATTTCATTTAAAAGAATGAAACTCACAGTCTCACACCATTTGTATTAATTGTTTAGTCATTTTTATGCATTTTATTTTTTTTTTTATTTTTATCTATTTAATATTTTGAATATTTTGAAGTTAAATTATTTGTTTAATCGTTACTTTTGAAATTGTTGTGTTTGAATAAAATTTAGTTACTCCCATAACATTTGAAATGACCACTTCTTAGAGATTAAGATGTTACGTGTGTGAGTTTTAAGAGAGTGGAGTTATCACTTTTTTGTGAGTGAATAGACTTTTTTAAGAGTGAGAGCTTAACCTCTTCTAAGATTCTATCTATTGAAATTTTACAATGTCACGTGTTTGAAGGGTGGGGGCTGTTATACTGTTATACATATTGGATTTTCAAGGGATCTTCGACACATGGCATGGGTGGAATGCTTGAGTATCTATGGAGTTTCACCCATGGCAGATAGTATTTGTCAGTATCATAGGATGATGATTCATATCGGTCAATACAATCTTATCCATTCTGTGTGAGCCAAAAAATTGAAAGAGAAAGAAAAAAAAGTAAAACAATGAAAGAAAAGTTAATCGATCATTAGCATTTTTAAGTATTAATGTGATTTATTCAATTTCCTAAGTGCATCTAAGGGTGTAAGTCGGGCTGGTTGGGTTGGGTTTATAGTTAACCCAGGCCCAACCCTAAAACATGGGCTTAAGGCCGGAGCCCTAGGTCAAGCCCAATTTTCTCAACCCGAGTCCAGCCCGCACTGTAATTTGATGCATTCGGGTTAGGCTCGGGCCCAGGTTGGTCAATGAACCCACTCTAAAATTATACATATATATGTATTTATGTAAATATATACATATATTTATGTATATATGTAAATATGTATACAAATGTTATATATACAAATATGTATGTATATATGTGTAAAATTTTATGCAACATTTACATATATACACATGTATAATTGGGCTGGGGCTTGGGCCAAGTTTGGACTACAGAAGGGTTAGGCCTGAGACCAGCCCAAAAGATAAAAAAGTTTGACTTCTTAGGCCCAACCCAACTCAAGGACTGAAAATCCAAGCCCAACCTGTATAAAATTCTGGGCTGGGCTTGCCCAAGTTGCACCCTTAAGTTTATCCAGGGATATCGTTGTTTTTCCACCATTGACTATCTAGATAGCTGGGATAAATATTGGGTAATGATCTTTTAAGTACAATGCACCCATTGACTGATGCAATGTTAATGAAGCACATAAACTAGCTTAAGAAGTTAAAACACATGTTTTCTTAATTGACTAATATATGGCAATAATTCTAGTCTTTCAGGTTTTAACCAGTATTCAATTCATGCAAATTGCATGTAATTTCTTTTGTAACAAGTGATTTTTTGGGGTAAAATATAAAAATCTCCCTTGAGGTTTCTAATAATAATAAAAACCTCCCCTAAGATTTTACTTTAATAAAAACCTCTCCTGTAGTTTTTGAACAAACCTGCAGTTACCTCCTTAAGTGCAAATGAGACAAAAGGCACAAATATTGTATCAGATAGGAGTAGGGGTGGATTCAAGCTGAGCCGAGCCGAATAGTACCAGGCTCGAGCTCGGTTCGAGCTAGAACCTTGAGCTCGAGCTTGGCTCGGCTCGTTTTATATTTTATAAAATTATTTTATAAAAAATCATATATAAATTTTATATTTTATATTTTAAAAATTAAAAATTAATAATTATAATATATATATATATATATATATATATATATATATATTCAAATCGGCTCGTGAGCCTCACGACCTGAGTTCTAGTAGGCTCGAGCTCTACTCGTTTAATAATCGAGCCACTGAATTGGGCTTGAGCTCGACTGAAACTGAGCCAAGCCGAGTTTTTCACGAGCCAAGCTCAAGCAGCTTGTGAAAAGCTTGGCTCGTTGCCACCCCAAGATAGGAGTACAAATCATAGTTACAAGCAAATGAGTGCAAAACTGAGCCGGATACAAAATTTGTAAAGTTCAGATTTGCATTGCAAACAAACAAAGCCTTATTCCTACCTAATACAAAATATGTACCTTTTGTATCATTTGCACTCATTACTATTGCAAATCTGGATATAACCTTTGCCTCAATTTGTTTGTAAAAATGATTTGCATTCTTATGCAAAATGTGTACCTTTTGTCTCATTTGCACTCACTAACAATACAAATTTTGCATTCCAAAAACTAATGCAAAATTTACCTTTCTCCTATCTAATTTTTTTTCTCATTTAAAGTGGCGACCGCATTATGTTGCTTCCGACCTCACCCTGAAATAAATAACCCTCCTCTTACCTCCATTCTCTCACATATGAGGTGGGGCCAACATCATTGTACTTCTCGCAAACAAAAATTTGAAGCAAAAGTAAGTCAACTTACTAATGGTAAATTAAAAAATATTAATATTAAATTATTAATATGCTTGCTAATGGATATATAATTTATAAAAAATACTAATGCATGCATTTAAGTTAAAGTTTGTGAACACTATTTTTATTTCTTTAAATAATAAATTTACTGTTATTTTTTGTAATTAAATTATTAATTAACATTTAATAGAAATATATAATCTTACTTTAAAAATATATCAAATCATTATAATTTTTAAGATATATATCATATGCAATTCGTAAATTTTAATTACTAAAATAAGTATTCTATTTTTATTATTTTATATTTTTTCTAAAAATGATCAAAAGTAATTGTACAAATTTTCATATAATAACTTAGATATATTGAAATATATCCCAATATTATTTCATGTTTCTTGTCAAATAATTTGGATATTTTCCAGTATGACACTATAAAACAAATAATTGCACTTACAGCTTAATTTCTTTGTAGTGCAAATTCAAACTGGATGCAAAATTTGCACCCAGTTCAAATTTGTGTGTTTTTGTTTTAACTATGATTTGCACCTTGCCTAACATAAAATTTGCACTTTTGTCTCATTTTTCATTGGTAGTTCAAATTTTGTATTTAAAAAAAAATTATGCAAAAATTTCACCACCTTCCTCTTAGCTTTTAAACCTTCGCATGTGCAGACCACGTCATTTGACTTCAAATTTTACTCCTCCCAAATAAACAAAACAAAATAAAACCTGAAACATAGGTAAATCAGAATTTGCACTCAGTGCATTTGCATTCCCAATTCAATGGCCAAATGTTTTTTGTAATCAAAACCCAATAGGAAAAGGATACATAAAATAAAAAAAAAGGTATAGGGCCCGTTCTGTTTTTGGAATTTGAGAGGGGGGAAATTTGGCCAATGGGACTTTAGTTCCCATTGATTAAGATATCCATATTATTTTTTTTCAGATTTATATGAGATCCATGGAAAATTTACTTTCCTTGAGTAACAAAATTGCTCTTAACAATGGCTTTTTATGGTTAAAACGATCATTTTCTTATTTATATGGGAAATAAAAGAACATGGATAAATGCATTTACCCAACTAAATGCATGCATTTACCCAAATAAATAACTTCCTAAAAAGCAAATGGGGTTTTATAGTAACACTCAAATTTTCCTTCTCCTA